TACGCCCTTTTAAAACTGACACGTTGTCATATCTCTCCCACTTTTTATGGGCTTGATTAAGAGAGAGAACTGAAAAACATGAATATAATAAATAACTGGCTCATTTAATTTCGTAATTTTTGGAGCTGTCCCAGTGGGTATATGTTGAGTTTATGTTGATATATATTCAGTATATACTAATTCGCGCAGAAGTGTGGCATATGTTAAGTTTATGTTGGTATATATTCAGTATATGCTAATTCGCGCAAAGTTGTGGCATATGTTAAGTTTATGTTGGTATATATTCAGTATATGTTAATTCACGCAGAGGTGGGTGTTATCTTGGTGGGTATATGTTGGGTTTATGTTGTATATATTCAGTATATCTTGCTAATTAAAAACATATCTTCCATCAAACAATAAGTCTTTTATGTTTTATTTATTTATTATTTGACTTAAGTATATATATAATTTATATTATAACAGATTACTTAACATATACCATAGAAATAAAAAATAATATATTGTGCATATACTACACAGTATATATGTTGGGTTTATGTTGATTTTTTATTTTTTTATTTTATAGTTCATTGAATGTTTTCAGTTTATGTTGTGTTTTGTAATTATTATATTTTCAATATATTTTCTGTGTATATTGTCTTTTATAAACATATTGTACATGTTACTTAATTTAAACGAAATTTCAGACCAATCAGTTTATGCAATTTTCGGCATATATATCGAATACATACAAAAAATATACTGATTTTATACATAAAAGTATCACATATACCAAACATATAGCAAAAATAAACCATTGGATAATAAAAAATGACAACAAAAAAATATCGCATATACCAGACGTAACATAAAAAAAAACGACAATAAAAAGGTATCGCATATACCAAACATATACTGTACATATACTCCATCCAGTGTCTACGAATTTCAACGTAATGACTAATCTACACACAATCCAAAATCCTAAAAAAATCAAAGCAAAATTCAAATTTCCTGCAACCAACTAATCATCTCCCCCAGATTGTGGCGACGCCGAAACCCTCTTTAGAGAACGCCATCGTCGGTGGAGGGAGTAGGACTCCATATAAACCGATTCTCGCATCGCCTACATGTAGATGACTACCGCGGGAACAGATTGATAGACGATCTCGTCGAGGGAGTAGGACTCGGTGGAGGACGGCGTTGAAGGGGACGTACTTGGCGGAGAAGTCGGGCGTGGTGTTTCATCCCCTTCTTTCGCCGGTATTT